ATGCCGTATTTTAAATTACGTCAAGGTGGTGTAATAGGTATTCTTTAGCAGATGCATATACTATGGAACCGTAATCTATTTTAGATCTTATTAGGGTTTCATAAACATGGATTAAGCAGTCATAGTCAGCTCCATAGTTTTTATTTGCTAGAGTTTTCATAAGATTAATTCCATTTTGGCATGTTTTTTTTTTATTTGTAGAATGTGTTTTTCCATGTAAGTTTCGTATCAAAAATTATCCCTAAGAACCTATGTCATCGGCATAATTTAGGATTTGTTTATATAAATTTAGATGTGGTTTCTTTAAAAATAACACGTTTCTTTAAAAATAACAAACACGTTGATTTGCTGAGTTAAAACTGCAGTCCTGTTTTAGTCGACCAGTTTTCCAGTTTATGAAGTGAGGTTTGTAAGTGACGCAGTACTGATGAGATATTTTTTCCTGAAGATACTAATACCAGATTATCCGCATATAATCTACCACGAATTAAGCTGGAGTTTGATGCTATAATATTATTCATGACAATTAAAAATAACGTTACGCTTATTATAGACCTATGAGGGGTGCCATTAGCTTGACGTCTTGTTGAAGATGTGCAGTGGTTGACTCTAACTTGAAAATTGCGTTATTTAAGGAAATTTTAAATGAAATTAATGATATTACCTCTAATATTCCAAGTGTGTAATGATCTGATAATATCGTAACGCCAGATTCTAAATTAATGAGGTTATCAGTAGTGGTTCGATTTTGTCGAAATCCACTTTGTTCTTTAACCAGGAGGTAATTTTTTTCTAATATCCATAGCAATCTTTTATTAACTATTTTTTCCCTGAATTTGCACATTACATTGGTGAGAGAGATGGGTCTATACGAGGAAATTTTAGTTCGTGCATTGTTAGGTTTGAGAATATGTATAATTATTAAATCACTCCATAAAGTTGGAAAGACATTATTTAACCAAATTCGATTGAAAATTTTTAGAAGGGTACATTATCTGACAGTTTTTCCAAGAATACTAAAGGTATATTATTGGGACCAGGAGTAGAGTTTTTGTGGTATAAAGGGCAAAGGTAAGTTCATCTAAGGTTAAAGGAATATTGAAGGAACTATTATCTCTATCTTTACAATCGAGCTGTTGTTTTTCTGCGATGATTTTGTGTTGTATAAACTCTTCGGAATAGTTGCTATTGCTCGATTCTTTTCGAAGTATGTAGCAAAAGCATCAGCTATTTCGTAAGGTTTTGTTATTATATTAGTATTATGAGTAATAAAATGCACTTGGTAAAATTTGTTTTTTCCTGATATTTTACGAATATTGGACCAGACTGTAGATAAAGGTGTTGTACTGTTTATATTTGAAACAAATTTCCTCCAGTTGGTTTTTCGAGCATTTTTTGATAAATATCGAGCATGTGCTCTCTGTTTTTTGTATTGAGTTATGTTAGTTGTGTTACTATGTTTTTTCATTCTATTAAAAGATGCTTTATACTGCTTGATTGCACTTTGACATTCTGTATTCCACCATGGTAGAGTACTGTGAATATTCGTAAAAATGTTGAGAATTTCATTTATATTAGTGTTTTCAAAACTAGATTTTTGTAATTCTTTGACATCAGTGTACTTGTCCCAATTAGCGTTTTTCAGGTTCCATTTTCGGACTGGTTGGTATTCAGAGATAGGGTCATCAGAAAATACAGAAATTATTATTGGGTAATGGTCGCTCCCATATACAAAGGGTAGGGGATCCCAATTAAGAGCCATTGAAAGAGATGGGTCACAAATGTTGTACCAGTATGTACATTAAATCTGGTTGGTCTTCTATCATTGAGAATGTTTAAATGTTCTTCAGTTAACAAGTCTCCGATTCGAAAATTTGTTGAGCTCCACATTGGGTTGTGACTATTGAAATCTCCTACTATTCGCCTGGGCATAGATATTTGTAAAATGAGTGCTTTTAAGTCGGTTAAGGTGAGAAGTGTATTTGGGGGAGTATAGATGCAACATACATTAATGCATTGGGAAGCTTTAACTGAGACGGCTACAGCTTCGATGTCTGTTTTTAGAGAAATCGATTGTGCTTCTGAATCTAAGAGTACTTTTAACATAAATGGTCACTCCACCACTTGCTTTTTCCTGCTTGTTTATTTTTATAAAATTTTTAGTTTTTTTTTAAATGTGTGGCAGTATTGGTCTTTGAAATTCGTTTCTTTAAGACAAATGATAGCTGGAGTAATATCATTAATTAAAAGTTTTAGCATTTCATAATGGGTATAAAATCCATTTATATTGCATTGTAATAAATTAAATTTTATAGTTATAATTATTGAATGTTCAGCTAATGGGATAATTCAGTCGATGTATCCGTGTCAGGTTCTTCATCCTCGTAGTTGTCTTTTGAGAGCTGTCTCCTAATTTTTTTGTTTAGCTTTGTACATTTCAATTTTAATGAGCGCTCGGATGTATATGAATGTATTTTGATTCAAAGTTGTTCTACTATATATTTATTTATAACGCTGATAACATCTTTTGTTCCATAAGTGTTTTTAAATAAATCACGTGTTTCCTCAAAAGTTAATATTTGCTTTTCGGAATTGAATAATTCTTTAATTGGTAGCATTAGCGTTTCTAAAGGTATTGTTTATATTTTTGTTTTTATTCTTTTTCGTTTCTGCGTTGGCTTTTAAAACATATCGTCACTAGCTGATGTCTCAATCGGGGGTAATATTGCTTCAGATACAGTTCGTTTGGAGGACGATTTGGACGTATTTTCCTCATTGGATACGCTAAATTCTGTTGGTGCTGGATTCTCTTTATTTTCATTAACCGAGAAAGAATTATTGTTTAGACTTTAAGATGAAGCTGGTTAGTTATGATTATATGAGATTATGGGGCTGATGAGATGGGTATATTTGGTTTGGATATCACTGGCATTGTATTATCTGTAGTTGATGTATCAAGAGATGTTAGGTTGGTTGTAGATAATATTTTTGTTATTGACGTTGAATTATTTGACATGTTTGTAGAGGTGCATGTTGATGAAGGTGTAATAGCAGTCGTTTCTGTTGAAGTCATTGTAGTAGATTCGTTTCTGTTTGAAAGTGTAGCAGTTGGGACAGCTGTGTCTGAGTAATTTACATTTACTGAGCAACTACTGGAAATATGGACATGTTGTTTGCAAAGGAAACATAAGTTGTCTAGTGTCAAAAAAATTCGATTGTTAGTATCTTCATGAGTTATTAAAATGGAGTCGGGAATTGGGCCTGTAGGTGGAGATACGTAAATATGTCGACGGAAACTTAGTACAGGTTTTTATTCAGGATTGTTGGTTTCTATTCGCAAAAATGATATTCATGAAGTTGGTTTTAGCCCTAAGATCAGTAGTTCGTTTATTATTACCTTATGCGGGATAGTGGGAGAAACATTGGATATTAGGAGTCTTTCACTTGGAGTAATTAGTCTATGGACTTGAGTGTGTGTATTGTTTACAGTGATGAAACCTCTGCTGGTTGAAAAAAATCATCTACGACTTGTTTGGTTGAGACATAAATACAGATATGATTGTTGATGATTCTTCATGAAAAAAGAATGTGTTTTGCACTAACTAGAGATCCTACCGCTAGCAAGCATTCTTCTAATTTAACATCATTGAGAGAATTTAAAACTACTGCTTGTAGCTTGGATGGATAGATCGGTTCTTGTTGTTTGCTGGCTGCAGCTGAGTAAGATAAAGGTTTTTGTGATGTGGATTGTGATAATATTTCATCGCTATATTATAGCGACCCTGGCCGCTTAAAAGATGGAATCTAAGGTCGCATGATCACACAAGGCACGCATCGACAGGCGATCAAAACTAGACCTTCTGAGAAACTGTTTACACCGTCATTATTTGTGTCATGATACTATAACTTAAATGTTTTATGTATCATTATTTGTGTTTCACTTCCGCTGGCTAGTGAATTTTGTGAAAATGTTTAAATTTAATGTAAATCAATAACCTGTAAAAAACGGTATAAATATATTATAGCGAGAGTGTTAGTTCGTTTTTGTTGAGCGGTGTAAACGTGGGAAAAGTGATAACAAAGGGAGAGGAATATTTAACAGTGCGTGCCATTCACGTGATCATTCCATCTTTTCACCGGCTCAACTATAGTGATGTCAAAGTCCATTCTCAACATCATTTGATTTTCCTAACAGGTTCGAACTGGTGTCGATCAATGTCTGGTGTTATTTATTGACGGTTTTATAAAATTCTTTGGTTATGAATTACTTATTAATAGAAAAATATGTACTCACAGAGCATGTTTTTCTATACACACTGAACTAACACTATTATACTTGATATTAACGTAGTGTAAGAATTCTATGATTGGTTTTTATAAGTTAAATTTACTAATCTGTCAGGATCGATCAAAAAGCATGGTGTGCTTATTCGATATCAGTGCCGAACTTTATCTATCTACCGAGTACCGACTCTACCGTTAGAGAAAGATATTAACTACCACATTGAAGATAACTTCAAATTTTTGCCAAAACAATTAAACACTTTAAAAATAGACCAGTCAAATTATTGAAATTGATTTCATATCAAATGAGATCTCTTCTATCTCAATGCATATTCTTTAAACAGTCAGAAGAAGAAGGCTTTTGTCAATTTTTAAGGGATTTAATAGATTCTGCAATAATTCTCTAATTTATTTATTAAATAATAATTAAATTTTCTCACAAAAATTTTTTTCTATCACAAAATTACAAAAATATCTACAATTGTGGTATTTGATTGTAATAAATATCTAATAAAAAATATATTAATTCTTAAAATCATATATCGTGGACACTAATGGGTTAATAATACAGCTGTTTAGAACAGGAACCTAAAGAAGAAGGAGCTTAATACTGGTATTATACATGTCCAATGTATTTCTCTTGAAATTTTTATACCTACTACTCGTATATATATTGTTACATGATTTATAATGTATATGTTTATCTTATATTGTAGAGATGAGGAAAATAAAATAGTTGAAGAGTTATTTTTTAAAATGAAAAAACCCAAGGACGATAAACCAGAAATGTTTAAAGCAAATGATGTACCCGTAGAATCACAGATCCCTTTGTTTGATAAAATAATGGCTGATCAACAGCGAAGGTAATAATTGGCTGAAATTTAATGAGTGATAAGCCTATTGTTTGATAAAATTATTGTATACTGCATTATTATGATTTTGTTTATTGTTGTCAGGAGTTTTGTCTCTAAACAGAAAAGGAAAGCTGCTTTAAGAGCTTCAATGAGACCATTCTCATTTACAAAAAGAGATGAAGAAATCCAGGAGCTTACCAGAGAATTGTCGAAGTCTTCCCCTAACTTATACATCGATCCTCCCTTAAAAATTAAAAAATTTAAGGCAAAGCCTATTCCAAAGAATTTATTTAGTAATTATATATATCGAAAAATGCATGAAGATGAATATTACAGGTAATTTCTTACATTAATCTTTATTTCTTATATTGTTGTTGACTAGAAGGACTATTTTAATTGTGCTACAGCTTATTTTAAACCGGGTGGTGAGCCCTTCCACAAAATAGTTAATCGCGCAGACAATAAAACATCTATGATCAGACCCAAGCAGTGGCGTTGCAATATTAAACAAATTATTATTTGAAACCGCACTAATTACAAAATTATTACTGACCTAAATAATAAATGGAGCTTGATTGTACACAGTACACATATTATTTTATAGATACCAAACTTTTTGTTTGTTATAATACTATCTTTAATAATTGATACTCTATAATGTTTGGTAAAAGTTAATTTCTAATTTAGTATCAGTTACCTTAAAACCATAATTATAAAGTCATTATTAATTACTCCTTAACGACTCATTAAGTACATATAAAGAACATATAAAGAATTATTTAGTCTTAGCCTAACACTCGTATTAGACCTATTTTGTAGAATAGAGATGGTTACGTATAGTTCGGATAGACAGATCAGATTGACACCAGAATCCAAAGGGATAGTTTACAATGTATTTAAATATATGCAAATACTACTTCCTGAAGATAAATGAACCAGTATTAAACAATGTATGAGTGAAACTACTGGAGTATCTTTGTGTACAGTAGAAAGTATCATTCGATAAACGAGTATGTTAACAAACGCAGAGTCATATAATACACTAAAATTTCCAACTACAACACTTGCTAAGAGGAAAACAACCGTGACAGACTTGAGGGAGTATGACAAACAGTTCATTAGAAATCCCATTCATTGTTTTTATGAGACTGAACGTTGTCGTGTATCATTGAAGCTTTTACAGAAAAGGCTTGAAGAGGTGTACGAGAGGACTGGAAGTGTGACTTCTCTTTACAGAATTGTGAAAGACTTGGGATTTAAATTGAAGAAAACGAACGATAATCGACGTTTATTAATTCAACGGAATGATATTCGTGATCTATGCATTGAATATTTGGACAAAATTAAATATTACAGAAGCGAAGGTAAGTCATTAATAAAGGTTTTAAAGTTAAAACAATCTTTGTAATTAATATTTATTAATACTGTAATGTGTAATATGTATCTATGGTTTCACATACAGACAATATATGTATGTGATATATTATAATAATATGTAATAAAATGTAGTACAATTTTGCCAAAAACATAATCTAATACCATTGTTTAATAAACTGTGTGTACCTATCTTTAACAATTTGATTTAAATCATAAGTATTTTTTGGAACGTCACTGCTTTGTTTGGTGAGGCTTTACTGTTCCTAGAAATTTCCGTCACTACAGTTGAAACATACTCTATCTGCAGTGTAAATTTGGTATGTAGTTGAAATGACGGATTATTCAAGACAAGTTTGATGTCCAGATCTTGCCTCTTCCTCATCGCAGGCCTTTTATTCTATACATTTTCGACAATAATTTTCAAAAAAAATATTTTTTATAACTGAAAATTATTTACCGATTAACGATTTTCGGAGTGGAAATCGATATTCCAAATAGCAGTTTTAGATATAATTTTTATTACAATCAATTGTAGCTTAAATTTTAAATATACCTATTTACAAAGATTAAACCTCTAATTGTAGCTTACGCCTATATAATCATAATATTTAACACTTGGATCAAAACGAAAACTGTAAATGAATGTTGAAATGTTAATATGAAAAAGGTCGACGCCATTGCAAAAATAAAAACCAAATTAAAAACACTCGTATAAACTAGGCAATAAAGAAAGTCATCTGAAAAATAAATACGAAAAGTTAATGGAGCAGTGTGCAGAAAAACTCCTACTATATAAATACCTTACTTACTTACTCCGTGGCGTTACAACCCTTCGTGGGTTTTAGCCGACTCGACAACATGCCTCCACTGTTTTCTGTCTTGAGCAACCTCCATCCAATTCTCCACGCCCATAGTGCTTAGGTCTCCTGCTATATTATCTCGCCACCGGAGACGAGGGCTTCCGCGTGGTCTCCTCCCAGTTGGGACTTCCTCCCATACCAGTATTACTGTTCGTTCGTCAGAATGTCTTCTGAGGTGTCCTGCCCATTGGAGTCTTCTGGACTTTATTTCTTTCATGATGTTGGCGTCTGGGTAAAGCTCTTCAAGCTCTTTATTAGTTCTTATCCTATATTGTCCTGATGCTTCATCAAGCACCAGACCAAAGATCTTCCTTAGGATTTTTCTTTCCCAAACACGTAGTCTCTCTTCATTTGCCTTTGTTATCGTCCACGTTTCGCTTCCATACATCACAACGGGTCGTATGATTGTTTTATAGACCTGTATCTTCGTACGTCGTGTTAGTTGTTTTGATTTTATAAGGTTTTGGAGGGCAAAAATACATCTGTTGCCGGCCTGAATCCTGTTGTTTATTTCTTGTGATCCGTTATATAAATACCACGACTCGCTTAATCTTAAAGGTTTATATAAACCGCAAACAAAAGTTTAAAGGTGGTTAAAGGTTTTTACAAACCAGAAAGACTGACTGCTTGAGGCACAAGCATGGAAAACCAATAGTACAAATTGAAGAAAAAAAGACACGTGGATGAAGCATGTAGACAGAACATTTCAAGATAACTGAAATAACAGGCCTCTTCGTTTTTGTCAAACGAAGAGGTCAGGAGAAGGACCAAGGTGACTGACGTCATCGAAAGGATAGCCAGACTAAAATGGAGATGGGCAAAACACATAGCTAGAATGATAGATGGGCGATAGACAAAGGGGTTATTGGAATGGAGACCAAGGGAAGACAAAACAAGCGTCGGTCGACCACTTATATGAAGGGCTGACGAGTTAAGACGACAAAATAAATACTGAATGAGTATACTGAATAAATACTCGGTTGAAAACACGATGGAGAGCCCTATGTTCAGAAGTGGACTTTTAATACTGGATGATGAGATAACAAACCTAATATAATATTGGTTCTAGAACTTAAGCGCCACTTACATATCAAAAAGTAAAAGATATTGCAAACATAACAAAGGACGGTAAGATAACAAGGTTATATTCCATGGTTAATCAAGTTTTACACTGCTGAAGCCTCTTATATGATTTGTTTTTCTGCGGATTTATAACTCTACACTCTTCATCGAATTAATCTTGATTTCTTCTGGCATTTAGTTGCTGTGTACATTGCTTCATTGCATTTATTCAATTGTTTTTATGCTTATATTTGCAATGATTCTGCGTAGCTTTTTATTTAAAATTTGAACGTAGTTATTCCACATAATTTTAGTTTCTAGCAACCCAGTGTTACATTACTATGTCCTTCGAATTAGATTTATGGGCTCTGCATTATGCTCTAATAAGCTAGTGGTGAGAATCTATAATAGAACCTTTACAGACTTCTACCATCTTTTACATCAAGCACATCTGAGTTATATCGACTATCAATAAGAACATGGTTTTGCTGCTTTGGTTGACCATATGGTTGATCTAATCGAGAATACGCTTGCCAATAGTTTGGCGCTAGATTGCCTCTTGACCAACCTTAGAGTTGAAATCTACGATGATAATTATGGCGCTTTTTTAAAGTGTCCGTAAGTGCTTTCTAGTTTTACATAGAATAGTTCTGTTTCCTCATCTCCTTAATCTTCAACGAAAAAATGTTATAATCGGTGTTTCGATTTTCCCTTCGGAAATCATTAGAAATAAAAATGTGTCATGCAATCCATAGACATAATAGACCACACCTCGAAATTGAGGAACGCGGAAGTTGCAACACAACCTCACTATAAAATGTGTCTGTTTTGGTGCAATCGTCTGGTGATTTAATTGAGCATCTTGCAGATGTGCATGTATATATGTGTATTTTGTGTATGAAGTTCTCATTTCATCCACAAGTGTTGGTTTGATTATATCTTATTCGGAAGCGTTCTATATTCCTATATACCCATAGGACGCTCCTTGTTAGTCATTGGGACTCGCCTTGCATAAGTTGAGAACTTCTATACCCAGTCCATTTTACGTGGTGTACTGGTGCGCTCGAATTTACAGTTTCAGTTAAGACGAAAAATCAGACCTCACACAAATACTTACAAATAATACTTGTCAGTAAATCAATTGCTAATACACGTTCGGCTATTACTCAAAATTTCCAGTTAACAAAATCCGTCCGATATGGATCTGCTAAATATTTTTCCAAAGAGATTAAAGATTGAACTGAGTGAACATTGACCTGTTAAATCACTAGTATTAGGTTGCAAATTCAGTATTTTGAAAAAAATTTCATATATCTTATGTATTGCGTTTATATTTATTGTTACGAACGTACATTCAACGTAGCCCGTATAACAGTTGCATCTCGAAACAACACCTCAGGCTTCCAGAACATTCGGCGATATATCGGACGCTGTAAAATTCCACCCGTCAAATAACGAATTAGAGGTGGGACTACTCCCGAATATTCTCGAACATAATAATTTGTATATATATATATATATATATATATATATATATATATATATATATATATATATATATATATATATATATATATATATATATATATATATATGTATACATATATATACACTGAGGTGCAAAATTAACCGGACACAAGTCAAGTTTATTACAAATCAAGAATGTTACTCAGAAAAAACAATAAACAATTCAAAAAATTTAAAATTTCGCAAAGAAAAAAATATTATTTTTTATTTTAATATAAACAATTTTTATGGAAAACAATGTTTAGTAGAGTGTATTACCTCCACGAGCTCTAATTACGGCCCTTATTCGATCAGGACAACTTTCTGGGTTATGATTCCTTTTGCACCGATAACATGATTTCACTGGCACTTGTTCAGATGCTGATTGTTTTGGTAAATTTTTGCTGTTTGTTGCACCCAACTTTGATAACACTGTATCTGACTCCAAAAATTTTGATTGATCTACCGCCTCCATACTTTGGGCTTCTTGAAAAGCTCTTTCGAATGTTAAATTACTTTGAGTCAGTAATTTTCTTCTTATTGTATCTGATTTCAATCCACAAACGAACTTATCTCGTACGGCATCATTTAAGAAGTTGCCAAATTGACAGTGCTTGGACAGGTTTTTCAACTTTTGAGCATAATCGCTTAATGGTTCATTTGGCTCCTGTTTGCTTAAATAAAAGTTATACCTCTCTGCAATGATTAATCGTTTTGGACTATAGTGCAGAACAAGAACATCTTTCAATTGCTGATATGTTTTCATCAGTGGAAACTCTGGTGCTATCAAATCCTTTAATACCTCATACGCTTCCCCTCCCATGAAAGTGAGGAACATTGAAACTTTTTTATTTTCTTCCACGAGGTTACACTCAAAAAGCTCTTCCATGCGCTCAATATATGAGGTTATGTCAGAATTTTTAGGGTTAAACTGCTCAATATTACCAATTAAAGCCATAACTTCCACGGCCCGTAGATCCGACTATACTCGTCGCCAAATAAGAAACATTCTTGCTAGTATATCTATTGTAAGATTAATTAATATTTTTTTATATTTACAAGACCGACATTTTCAGTATATCATTTAGTAAATAATAATATGTTTGATTTCAGGGCACTTCAGAAAAAAATTCGAGCAGAAGAACTGTTAAAAGCTGCTTCTTTGCCACCATCAATGGCCAAGCGAGAAAGATCAAAACCAAAACTGAACGTTTGTCCACGATCATTCAGTAATCTTTCTACAGAAGAAAAAGTTATCAAAAAATCTAAATTTGTTCCAAATTATAGAGCTTATCAAGATAAATTTGAAAAAGAACTTGAAGATATGAAAAATGAATTCATTTCTACAAGTCCTAGACCTTTTAAATTAAAAACTTCAAAAAGAGTAAGATATTAAATGATTTTTTTATTAATTTTATATCAATATGCATTTCTTTCCATATATTTACGGTCCTATAAATCGTTTTTTATCTTGTCAGATAACATCCGATATTTTCTAGGGAGAGTTGGACAAAACCGGGTACAAGTTGAAAGAATCGTCGTATTTGAAATAATTTTGAGAATTATTTTTTATATAACAATAAAACACTGAAAGCTTTTATTTTCAAATCTAAAACAAAATTTATTATAAATTCTTATCACTACAGCTATTTCGGCAGCGTGCCTTTCTTATGTGATCTATTTTGGTATGTTTACACTTTATAGTCTTTATATATAGTTTGAGAAGGGGAACTGTTTGTCTCAAAATGGTCATTCAAAATTATGTCTGTATTATTTAATTTGTTGATTTCTATAGGCTCTAATCTTCTTCTTATGGTGCCCTATTCAATTGGTGGATGTTGGCGATAATTCTGGCATACTCCTCTCTATCTTATATGCCTCTAAAGAGGCATGGGCATTGAGATTTGTCCAATCCCTTATGTTTTTAAGCCATGAGTATTTCTTTCTTCCGATTCCTCGTTTTCCTTCTATCTTTCCTTCCATAATAAGCTTTAAGAACTGGTACTTGGAATTTCGAAATATATGACCCAGATAAGCAGTTTTTCTTCTTTTTATTATTGGCAGCAATTCTTGTTTTCGGCCCATTCGATTTAATACTTCGACATTTGCTGTGTGATCTGTCCAGGTTCTAATAAAGATATATTAAAGCCTTTATATTAGATGTGAAGCATTTGAAATTCGTGTAAAATATGTTTCTCTATTATTGAAAGCCCTTATATGTTCTGCTACACGTTTGTTAAAAGTTCTACCAGTTTGACCGATGTAAGTTTTTGAGCAGTCGCCACATTTAAGTTTGTGTACGCCACTGTGTAATTGCTTTTTCTTTTGGCTCTTGTTGTTTTTAATATATTTGCCCAAGTTGTTGATTGTTCTAAAAGCTGGTGTTATTCCTTTATTTTTTATGAGTTTGGTTATTTTTGTTGATATCTCTCCTGTATGTGTAATCGAACAGAACGTACTGGGTTTTTTCTCTGGTAGTGGAAATACTAATTTCAGGGTTATCTTATGTAGTTTTTGTTTTAAAACTTTATTTATTGTTTGTTCTTTGTACCCATTGTTTACTGCTATTTGGTTAATGATGTTTAGTTCTAGCTTAAAGTTGTTTTCTGACATCAGAATTTCTATTAATCTATATAACATGCTATGGTAGGCTGCCTATTTATGTTGTGTTGGATGGGATGATGAATTGTGTATAGTCGTGTCAATATGACTATGGAGTAAATTAATATACAATAAAAATTGGTCAAGTGACCTGTTAGTTTCTGTAAAAGATACCAGTGCATCGTCTACGTATCTCCACCAATATAAAATCTGTTTGAATACGGAATGTTTTGAAGTCTTTGTTTCTAGATGATCCATAAAAATATCTGATAGTAATGGGCTTAGAAGATTATCCAATATAAGAACTGTACTGATATTCGTATATATTTGATTATTAAATTCAAAGTAGTCCTAGTTTATACAAATTTCAAGAAGATGTCAAATTTTAGATGTAATGATTGGATTTGTAATATTATGGTCTAAAAGATTTTATACTATAGTAAAATTCATTAAGCGATGCACGAAGATGTAAACATTAAATCGTGTCCGAACCGGTATGAGCTACCGAAAACGTCGGCAGACGAAATAAAAATGGACATTTCGGTTAGTTTTTAAATATTTTTGAAGAACTATTACTTGCATTTATGCATAAAATATTCAATAATTTTATAAATCCGATTATTTTTTCACTTACTATGTATTCAGTGATAACATTAATTTATTTGCTATGCAATAAACACAAATATTTGAGAAAAGAAAAAAATAATAAAGTGTCATAATTATACTGTTACTTATCGGAACGAGTAGACTCATTTGGAACATCTTTAACAATTATCTGTTAAATTTATCGTTGTTTATATGCCCTGCATCGCTTAATGGAATAAGGTATAGAACAAAAGTTTCTGTAGAAGGAATATTAAGCAAAAGATTTTTTACGTCAAATGAAATAAATCTGGAGTTATTGGTAATTGAAAATGTTGTATTTTATTAACTAGTTCTGTTGTATTTTTACCGTGAATTTAAGTGAAAATTTAGTGTGATCTAAAATAATCTCTAACAGTTTTTTTGACAGTTTATATGACGGAGCTTAATTTAAAAAACTTCAGGTCTTATTGGGTGATCAGGTTTGTGTAGTTTAAAAAAAAGCATAATCTAGGGAACTGTGGGTTCATAACATCGAGGTATTTCTGTATTATTGAATTTAATATGGATTTTTAATTTTCTAACACCAGATTTGTTTTTGATTCTTTTCCGTCAGATCTTTATTTATTGTTTCAATATTTTGACTATTTAAACATTCTATTGTTGCATTTATTATATTCTATTTTATCTATAGCAATAGCAGCATTACTTTTTACTGCTTTTGTAAACACTATTTTGTTTTCTAATAATTTATTTTGAATTGAAATAACTATTTGATTCTCTTTATAACTTTCATTTTTCGATATTTTTGGCAGTTTTATTTAATGCTCCTTCACATGCTACACCTAAATATTCTAAACTTTTTTTATTACTAGGTTGAGGCAAGTTGTGTTGAAATCCTTTTAGGAAGTTGTATCTCGCTATTACTGAATTTAGTATCTATTAAATTTATAAATCTATTGAATACATTATGGTTTGAAAAACTTTTTGTATAATAAACATTAGATTTTTTAATATTGCAAATTAGATTATTTAGTTTTTTACACTGTGTATTGAATTTTTTATCTATTCTAGTATCTACTTTAATGCTCAAGTTAGAATTTGGGATATCCCATTTTTTATACTGACTTCTTCTGTCATCTTTCATCCATCTGGTCTTGCCGTTATGTATGACCGCCACAAGGCTCAGGTTCTTTGTTTCCGAAATATATACAACTAAAAACTGTATGTTTTACGAGAACTAACAGGCAACTTGACCAATTTTTATCGTATATTAGTTCACTCTATAGTCATACTGAATTTAAAATAGAAACAGAATAAAATCAGTCCATAAATTTTCTTGATTTTAAAATTATCAGTTTTAAAAACAAACATGAGTTCTCCTTATTTCATAAACCTAACCATACTGACACGACTATTCACAATTCATCATCCCATCCTACACAACATAACTTTGCAGCCTACCGTAGCATGTTACATAGATTAATAGAAATTCCAACGTCAAAAAACAACTTTGAGATAGAATTAAACATCATTAAGCAAATAGCAGTAAACAACGGGTAAAACGAACAAACAATAAACAAAATTTTAAATCAAAAACTACATAAGAAAGCCCTGAAATTAATATTTTCACCACCAGAGGAAAAACCCAGTACCTTTTGCTCGATTACATATACATGCAAGATATCAACAAAAATAGCCAAACACATAAAAATAGAGGAATAACACCAGCTTTTAGAACAAACAACAACTTAGGGAATTATATTAAAAACAACAAGAGTCAAAAGAAAAAGCACTTAGACAGTGGTGTATATAGCACTTAAACTTAAATATTGTTCTGAAGCTATTTTCTTGTGGCATTTTAAAGTAATTACTATTTAAATGGGAATAAGCCACAATTAAAGATTAAAGTAGATTTATTGACGTTTCAATTTCCACTTCCGAAATCGTTCTCAAAATACAAACATTTTATATATTGTATATATTGTCTGATTGGTACATCCGGTATACAATGGCCATTTTCTTGTTTAGCAACACTATAGTTCTAGCGAGATTTTTAAGCGAGGTTTGTGACGGCACTATTATGAGTAACAAATTTTGTAGAAATTTAGAAAACATGAGTAGTATTATACGTCCTATATAATAATGAATTGAAACACTTTTTAGGCTCGAAGACACTTAAGACAGTCTTCTGCCAGTAGCAAGACTTCGTCTTCCAAAACTGCAACCCCATGCTCCTTTGATATGTCTTCAATAAATACTTCAAACTTGGCTGCTATTCTTAGAATCCAATCTGCGAGGTAATATTAGTAAAATGCAAGAATTATATTTATGTATTTTTTTTTAAATAGCTATTAATTAAATTTGCTTGCTTTTGTTAATTTAGCAATAATAATATTCTACATATCTTTGTATAAATTTAATATTTTAAAAACCTAATAAAATATAATAAAAATTAACAGAAAGTGATTGTTATTACATTTTTCTATTTCTTGGTCTACTTCTTCCTGAAATTGTATATATATCTAATCATTACATTTATTTCTTTCGAAGTTTGTTCACTTCCTTTTTTTCAATTTTCTGTACCGAAGGGGGCAATTCTAAGAATTAAATATCCACGCTATTGGTGCCACGAACATGAAATTAAGATATGACCGAAGGTCATATGCGAAGATTGAAACCAGTCCAAAAAAAAGCCAGTCAAGAAATAAGTCGTAGGGCAAAAGCAAATCCAGAATGAGAGTTTGAAGACCACGCCGACGAATGGCGAAACACAACTTGTTGTCAAATATTCATGTATTTATTGTGTTATTACATGTGTTAAACCTTATTAAAGGTTTATAAGTTAAAACAATATTTGTAATTAATATTTATTAATACTGCAATCTGTAATACATATCTATGGTTTCACATAAAGACAATATATGTATGTGATATATTATAATAATATGAATATTGCCAAAAATATAATCTAATATCATTGTTTAATCAATTGTGTGTACTTATCTTGAACAATTTGATTTAAATCATAAGTATTTTTGGAACGCCACTGCTTTGTTTGGTAAGGCTTTACTGTTCCTAGAAATTTCCGTCACTACAGTTGAAATATACTCTACTAAATAATGGTCAGATCTACATGCGTGACCTCTATAAACTCTGGTATCTTTAACAACTAATTTTGATTCTTGTTTTATAATGATGTAATCAATAACAGATTTTATTCTTTTAATATTTTAATGCCAGGTATATTTGTGGATATTTTGGCGTTCTTCGCATATATCTAATATAGTTCAGGATTTGACGATAAAAATAGTAGAAAACCTCTAAATTGTTCTTATACACATTGACTCGCTTAAAATTTTGACATTAGTTAAAAAAGCTCAAAAATAAAAATCTACCTTGTGCCAATATGTGCTTTTCCTCTTTGGTAAAAGAAGTTAGTTAGAAAAAACATGGTACTCCCTAGAATGGTGAATTTTAGGACAAAAATGTTTCCTGAAGTTTTTTTAAAGTCAATATTTTTGGAGTTATTCATGACTAAAAGTTCACAAATTACACGTCAAAAAAGCATGTTTTAAACTGTTTTTTACGAGTAACTCCAAAAATTTAGATTTCATCAAGAACACTGCTTGGATATAAAATAAAGCTTATTAAAAAAAAGAAATTAGTTTTTTATAATTACCATAAACTTAATATTAACAACTCACGACTATTCGAAAGTAGACTTTTATTCAATGAATACAAAAATTCAAACGTATGATGTTGAATAATCGGAAAACGTAAACGGAAAACGTTTTTCATGGAAAATTGTATAAATTTTTTTAAAGATCTTAAAAAAACATTTAAAATGACCACTAGTAAAAGTAATCTGCATGAAAATTTGCATGAAGTTACAGCTAAAAGTCCTCTTATATTTTTTGTGAGGGAGAAGGTAACAAACCCACCCCAGTCAAAACCACCCTAGTTGAAACTATTCGTTGTTCATTTCAAATTTACTTCATTTATATATAAACATTAAATGCTGGAAGTTTAACTGATTAAGGTTTAGTTTTGAAAAATCCCAGTTTAAAAGGAAGACACTGTTTCGGAATTTTTTAAAAAATTCTCTTTTTTTCAAATAACTCAAGAACTAAAAAAGACACAGAAAAAGTGATACAATTCAAAGACAGCTTTTTTACTAAAGCTTTAAAGGTTGTATTCGCATGCGTTTAGCACCATCCTTAAGTCATTTCAGGGCAACTCTTTTTCAAAAAAAGTGTTTGAAAAAAGTTTAGTATGTATACATTATTTTGTAGCTTTTAAAATAAACTACAAAGTGGTTTATATTAAATTTTTCTCATGTCGTTCATTTCAACAAGAGTTGCGCTGAAAGTGCTTAAAGATAATGCTAAACGCATGCGAATACAATCTTTAAACGATCATAATTATCACGTTTAATTGTTAGTCTATAGAAATACAAAAAATCAGAATCTTTAGTAAGAAAAGCTGTTTATTTTTTGTATTGTACTATTTTTTATGAGGAGGTAAAGGATATATAGATATAAGATACAGGATATTTTTAGGTCTAAGATTCCAATGTGTCTGAAAAGAAAAGTATTTAATCAGTGTATTTTGCCAGTGATGACTTACGGCGCAGAAACCCTAACACTCACAAGAACAACAGTGAGTAAACTACAAGTTGCGGAAAGGGCAATGGAGAGAATAATGTTAGGGATTTCTCTACGTAATAGAATACCCAATGCTACCATACGCAAAAGATCAGGAGTACCACACGTTATTAAAAGGATAACAACACTAAAGTGGAACTGGGTAGGTCATGTAGCAAGATCAGTTGATGACCGGTGGACAAAAAGAATTTTGGAATGGAAACCCCGAATACAAGCTAACAGAAATAGAGGTCGACCCCCAACGAGATGGACATATTACATAAAAAGAGTGACTACAAATTGGATTCAGATGGCGCAAAATCGGACTAAGTGGAACAGCATGCGAGAGACCTATGTTCAGCATTGGACGTTAGAGGCTAGTTGATGATGATGATGACTATTTTTTATATATCTTATAAACTCGAATTTTTTCAAAACTAAACTTTATAAACCAATTAAACCTCCAGAATGTAATGTTTCTATATAATTAAAGTAAATTGTAAATGAACAACGAATGAATTCAACCAGGGTGATCTTGGTAAGAGGTCCCAGCAAGGACAGCTGCGGCCTTTCAACTTTATTAAGATCGAAGCTGCTAAAAAGAAAATCTAAATTAACACTGTACAAGTCTATTATTCGCCCAATTATTACATACGGCAGTGAAACATGGACTCTCAACCATTCTAGTTTTTTAAAGAAAAGTTCTCAGAATAATATTTTTGGCCCTCAAAGAGATGAGTTCACAGGGGATTGGAGAAGACAACCATTACAAAAGCTTACAATTTTCTGGTTATTCAATATCATATGTTTGGATTTTTGTATTCGATGAACAAAAGTCTACTTTAGAACACCCATGACTTAACAATTAAGACGTTATTAATAAAACACGAATCCCTTTTTTTGTATAAGCTTTATGTTGTATCCAAACTGTTTTAAAAATTTACTATTCTAGCGACTGTCATAGTTTTTTTTTGATAAACTTTTTCGACACCTGAGTTGGGGTGGTAACATCGAGCAAAAAGAGAGAAGAGGGAATGTAAAGTTAGTGGGGGCAAAATATTGTTAGACGGGAAGTGCCATTTTAAGAGGCCACATTAAACAAGGAACGAGAGTCTCTTTCCTTGTTTAAGAAATCGAATTTAGTTAGGTTATGTTATTGTTTGTCCCAACTGTCACATGAAAGCTTAATTATATTGAATTTTTTTTAACAATTGTGTTATATTTCAGACTATTATTGTTATTATTTGATTAAAACTTTCTCGTCTAAGACACATTCTGAAAAATATTTTATGGCAACTACTGTTTTATAACCTTATAAAGAACATGAAATATTTTCCTAATTAAAACAATCATTATGCTAAGAGGCCAATTTTATAAATTTTGGTCTTCTTTTCAAAACGATTAGATTCCCTCTTTTGTATTTTTGCTCGATAGGTGGTGACCAGCCCCAGAGGAAAAACACATTGACATAGAGTAGATTTTAAACTTTGAGCTATTTTTTATCTACTGTCAAAATTTCAGGCAAATCCTTCATATGAAAAGAAGTTTGAGCAAAGAACCGTCATATTCTGTACTACTATTAATCTTTCTTTTATTAATATTATATTTTAATAATATTATATTAAATTTCGCACATTAAATCACAAATCTGATACCTCCTCTTTACCTTATATTATATGGAGGCACAAATTAAATTTTTTCTAATATGTAAAAAGAAATAAAATAAGCTTTACTCACAATCAATTTAATTTTACCACCAAAACGACCGGTTTTGCTGACTACACTTTGCTAAGCATCTTCAGGTCTAACGGTACCAGGTAAATTAAATGCTGAAATTACAAAAGCCCACATTAGGTTGCTGTCTTAAAAAGATAACAATTACAGTAATTATACTAATATTACATGTCTGTGATTATTAATATGGATAAAATTGATGAAGCAGATAAACTAAAAACCCACAAATTGGTATACGATAATCTATTGAATTGAAATAAATTACTAAATAACCAAAATACTACTTACAAGCCGGTACAAGAATTATTAATTAATGATTCATGAAACATAGTTCAAACTATCCTAGATTGCTGAGTGTAGTAAGCGAAACAGGCCATTTTGGTGGTAAAATTAAATTGATCACAGATCGTGAGTAAGTCGTATTTTATTTCTTTTTACCTATTTGAAATAAACTCACACAGACAACACATTCATGATTTAAATTTTTTCTGTTCTTTCATAATTAAATATGGCTCCTAAATTTTCCGATCTGATATGTATATTCGTTGTAGGCAAAAAATTGAAATGGAAATGATACGAGCGTTGGACGAAGCTCAAAGAAGAGACGAAGCAAGATGGAGGGAAAAATTATTTCGAAAAAAGCCTATTTGGCATAATTTAGCGTATAACCATGAGGATGACTTAGCAATACGATTGCAATTACGAAGAGATGAAGAAAAATTGAGAAAAGAAGAACACAAAATGAGAATGTCGCTAATGTATGGAAGAGTACAGAAGCAACCTACTCTTTTCGAAAGACAATCACAGGTATGGGATTCTTTTAATTGAGCGCACTCTCTTAGTCGCAATTCTTTTTCTGTTAGGTTCCTTCAGTCATTGTTAATAATATATATATATATATATATATATATATATATATATATATATATATATATATATATATATATATATATATATATATAAATATATATATATATGTATATATATATATATATAAATATATATATATATATATATATATATATATATATATATATATATGTATAACTAATCACTTCAAAGAGGAAAATGCAGTGCAATGGGAGTTATATTCTCACTGTTACAGAAAATAAAATAAGTTAGTCAGAGATCCTATGAACGAGGCCCTAGAACTAGTGAAACAATGGACTTATTTGGATGAGCTAAATATAAGTCCTCACAAATCCAACATGGTTGCTTTCACAGGCAGATAGAATTTGGAATAATTAGGTTCTCTAAAGCTGCAGGGACAGAAAATTCAGCATAAAGGGAGAGCTAAGGTATCTCAGGGTTACTCGAAACTTAACTGAAACCAGCAATTAGAAAAAATAAAAAGTAGTGCAGTGGGAAGAAATAGAAATATGATGCATGTATGGGGAAAACTGGTGCCGTGCGTATTATTCTAACAGGAGCTATGGAGGCTGTACTTCATTTGATAATAAAAGAAGAGGCAAGATTGGGAGTCTACATAATAAAATAATCAGTGAAACTATGCAATGAAAGGATAGGGCATATTATGAGGATCACAAAGACTGCGACGAAGGACATCTTTAGAAAGGGTGTCGAAGCAATAATCCTCAAAAATTCAAAAATTGGCGAAAGTTTTGGCTTGGGGAGTAACTACACCAGTTTTAAGCGGAGATTTATGTGATGCTGCAGTGTGGAAAGAAAAATAATAAGAGAGTACTTGAAAAAGAGCAGATCCATAAATTGTATGTCAAGCAGAACTGAAGGCACTGGCGTGTCCGGGGGTCATAAAGACTGGTATGGGCCTGCATCACAAAACTGAAAGAACTGGAAGACTTTAACACAGTTAAGCCTATGTGGGTAGCAAGGCATTCGGGTATCTAAGGCAACTAAAAAGCAGGTCAACTTGCTAAAAGAGGATCGAATGGATCAAATGGACCGACTGTGACTCTGGGAGTGCCAAGGTCTGCAGTACTTAGGGCTGTAGATGACTGAATTCGGATGAGCTATATTAGGGATGAGCTATATTAGGAGAGAATCTGAAAACAAGCATATAGGAAAATCTTCATTGATGGACCATGTATAAAAAGAACAGAAGAACTGCTCCATATGGCAGAAACAAACTAAGAATGGTAACAGGGATGTTGACCTAGCATGCAGCAGTAAAAGAATTCTTAAATAAAATAAGCATTTACAATGGAGAACTTAACTGCCGACTGTAATAAGAAACCAGAAACTGTAAAACATGTATTATGCGATTGCAAAGCACTAGACCTCAAACAAAGCTAGACAAAACTCTATGAGAAACCAAGAAAAAACCTTGGTTTATTTAGAATACACCAAACTTAAATACCTGTACAAAGTTCTACAGTGTACAAGAATTCTAGGCTGGGTGTAGGAAACTACAGTGGTATACTGTACATTTCTGATAACTACTTATTTCAGTATCGGTAACTAGATCTTGCTGCATTATATTGTTGTGTTTGCTTCACATTTTACTTTATTTATTAAAGATGAGGACGGCTTCTTTAATTTTCGTCTCTTTGCTATTTGTTTCTTTTAAAACTGTTGATGAACTATTACATGTTCGAGAATTATTGTTTTTTGCTAAGATACGCTGATATGCAATCTGAAGCGGTGTAACTTATGTATATAGAAAAATATTGTCAACTTGACAGATAAATTTCTTTCGTTTTATTTATTAATTAACATATTATTCTTTTAACTTACATATTTTGTTTAATATAGATGAAATATCCTGTAACACGGGAAGAATTAGAGGATCAACTCCGTGAGATGTATGGAAAGAAAAATGAGTCCATCAGAAGTATCAGTAATCTATCCGGAAAAAAGTCAGTGGTAGGAATAAACTTCAGTAAATCAAATCCGGCAGATTGCAGTTTTAATATTGACTTGGACGACATTGAAAGTAAAGAAAAAGAAAGTTTGGAGGAAAAGGAAAAATGCGATTGCCTCAGTGATGATATTGATAATGATCCTGATTCCAAATTGGTTTAAATTTAAAAATTTTGCCTATAGAAAATACCTTCTTGTTTTAAAAACTGCCTATTTTTATTTTTAATCTCGCCGTCAAAACGACAAAGAAAAAACATCATATGAATAGCAGAAAAACCAACCATTAACGTTAATCAAGTTGCGGTCTTTGTATTGATTTTTTATTCACTATCTCACTGGATTAGACATCTTGGTATTTCATACCTTTTCCCGTTCAATATTTCTCACATACATCAGCTTTCTTTGTTAAATATAGTGATCATTTATATTTATCTTCAAAACCATTTTCTACAAACTGTACTTTTAATGCTGACACCACCCTTATATAAGTAGTGAAATATTACTTTCATATTTAAATTTTTAAAGGTGGCGCTAGAGATATATTATTCATAAAATATTTGATGGATTCGACCGTTACTTGATGGAAATTCATTTTATGTAACAATAAAACATTGAAAACTTTGTTTTCAAACTTCCACAAAATTTATTTTAAATATTATCACTACAGCTGTTTCGGCTGATTGATAAAAAATCTTTTTCCTAGTATCCCTCCTACAGAAACTTTTATTCTAGTAAAAAATCTTTTAGACCAAAATAATACAAATCCAATAATTACATCTGAAATTTTACATCTTCTTGAAGTTTGCATAAACCAGGACTACTTTGAATTTAATAATAAAATTTATACAAATAACAGTGCAGGACTTATAATGGGTAATCCTCTAAGCCCATTGCTATCAGATATTTTTATGGATCATCTAGAGACAAAGATTTCAAAACATCCCGTATTCAAACAGTTTTTATATTGGTGGAGATACGTAGACGACGTACTGGTATGTTTCACAGGAACTAACAGGCAACTCGACCAATTTTTATCATATATTAATTCACTTCATAGTCATATTGAATTTACAATAGAAACAGAACAAAATCAATCCATAAATTTTTTTAGATTTAAATATTAGCAGACTTCAAAACAAACATGACTTCTCCATATTTCATAAACCTACCCATACTGACACGACTAAACACAATTCGTCATCCCATCCAACACAACATAAACTGGCAGCTTATCATAGTATGTTACATAGATTAACAGAAATTCCGATGGCAAAATAAAACTTTGAGACAGAATTAAATATAATTAAGCAGATAGCAGTAAACAACGGATACAACGAACAAACAATTAATAAAATGTTAAATCAAAAACTACACAAGAAAGCCCTGAAATTAGTATTTCCACCACCAGAGAAAAAACCCAGTACCTTCTGCTCGATTACATATACAGGCAAAATAACGACAAAAATTGAAAAACACAAAAAAGAAAGGAATAACACCAGCTTTCCGAACAAATAACCTAGGCAAATATATTAATAATAACAAAGGCCAAAATAAAAAACACTTAAATAGTGGTGTGTACATACTCCAATGTGGCGACTGCCCAAAAAGTTACATCGGTCAAACTGGTAGAAACTGTGATAAACGAATAGCAGAACATAAAAGGGCTTTCAAGAATAGAAAAACAGATTCGACATACGCACTTTACCTTCTAGATCATAATTATTCTTTTAATGACAAATTTAAAATTATTCACATTCAAAATAAAGGCCTTAAGCTATCTTTGTTAGAATCTATGGAAATCAACAAATTAAAAAAACACAGATATAATTCTGAATGACCAACTTGAGACAAACAGTTCTCCCCTCCTCAACCTATTTCATTAGAGACTATAAATTTCTAAACCCAAGCAAAAATAGATCACTTGAGAAAGGCAATCAGCCGAAACATCTGTAGTGATAATATTTAAAATAAATTTTGTGGAAGTTTGAAAACAAAGTTTTCAGTGTTTTATTGTTTCATAAAATATTGTTTGATGTGTATCGATTGTACACAAAAATTCTTCCAAGGCGCAATGTAGAAAGGTATACGATGCCAAATGCGACATAGTTAACATTTCTCGAAAATATTCTGGACGCTGCTAACTGATACACTCCAATTCGTCACTAAGGTAAGGTACTAGAGTAAATTTGTTCATCCTATGGCTCTACAGCTCAATTTGAGCCTGGTCTTACTTAGCAAACCTCTCTATTCGTTACGGTCTGTAGCCATTCTCCTCAGGATTGACTACCAAGGAGATTTCTCGTGTCATCAATATTATCCTCCCATCGCTTCCTCGGTCTTCCAATACTTCTCTTGCCCTGCATTCTTGCATTCAACAAATTTTTTGGAAGCCTGTTTTCTTTCATCCAATTACATATCCTGCTCATTGAAGATTCTGTGAGCGGACATATTGAAATAAAGCTGCTTCTTTATATGTATATATATATATATATATATATATATATATATATATATATATATATATATATATATATATATATAGATAAAATGTATCTTTTTCTTCTTCTAGTGCCATCTCCACTAATGAAGGTTGGCTATAACCATTGCAAATTCGTCTATATCTTCTGCTTTTCTTAAGAGCGTCTGTGTATTTAACCCGGTCCAGTTGCGAATTATTTTTTAGCCAGGATATTTGTCGCGTACCAGGACGCCTTTTTCCTTCGATATTACCTTTCATAATCAGCTGCAACAACTAGTACTTATCATTTCCAAGTATGTGCCCCAAATATGCTGTTTTTAGCATTTTAGTGGTGGTCAAAAGTTCTCTGTCTCTTCCCATTCTGTGCAACATCATTTCGTTTGTAATAATAGGATCGGTCCATGGTGTCTTCAAAATTCTCCTAAAAAGCCACATCTCAAAAGCTTCCAGTTTTATCATTAAGTCAACATTAATAGTCCAGGCTTCGAGACCAAAAAGAAGAATAAAGTGGGTATAACATTTCACCATCCGATATCAGATTTGCAGATTGAGTCTTTGGTTACTCAGAAATTTCCTTATCTTCAAAAAGGCTGCTCTTCATTGCTCTATTTTTGAGCGAATTTTTAATTTCGGATTCAGATCTTCCGTAATTCAGGCTTCTAAGTATTTCATTTTGTCCACTTGCTCAATATCTTTATTTTTATCGGGATCCTTGTAATAACTTAGCCTCTCTTACTGATAACCATGGTTATTGTTTTCTTTATGTTTATTGTTAAACAAAACTGTTCCCCAGAATCACAAATTGTGTTTAGTGACGTCTGCAGGCCTGTCTCACTTTCAGCGATAATGACTATCGTCAACATAACGGATGTTATTTATATTTTCCCCATTTATCTTGATCCCTCTGTACAGTTTTCAAGTGCTTGCGTAAATAACTCTTCGAAATATATATTAAATACTAATGGTGAAAGTACACAGCTCTGTCTCACTCCTCTACTTATCTGTTGCGCATCCGTGCTATTTCCATCTAATATAACTACAGCCTGTTGGTTCCAATAAAAATGTCTTACTATCTTAATGTCATTTTTGTCGACACCATTTCTCTTTAGATATTCCATGAGAATGTTATGTTTAACTTTGTCGAAAGCTTTCTTATAGTCTATAAACGCAACGAAAACATCTTTTTGTTGGTCTCGGCATTTTTGGGCAAGAGTTGTGAAACTATACAGAGCTCACTGTACCGAAGCCGTTACGAAAGCTAAACTGTCTATTACTCATATCCGCTTCGCATTTTCTGAATATTCTTGCATGTACAGTATTTAAAAATATTTTTAATAAGTGTGACATTAAGCTGATTAATCTGTAGTAATTACAGTGTTTGGGGTTCTTGGTTTTTGGTAGCGGAACAAAGGTCGATAGCAGCCATTCTGTAGGTATCTCACCAGATTTGTATATGTTGTTAAAGAGTATAGATATTGCACTTAAATTGTCTTCGTCTATAAATTTATTCAGCTCGACATGAACTTCATCTGGCCCAGGGGCTCTGCCAGATTTTAAGTTGTTTATAGTATGTTGTGACATATACGTATGCTTTATAGATTACCAGAAGGCATTTGACAGAGTAAAACATGACAAATTAATGACTCTAATGCAAGAAATTGGAATTGACAACAAAGATCTTAGAATTATGAGAAACATTTACTACAATCAAACGGCCAAAATCAAAATAGAAGACCAGTTAACTGATAAAATTGCAATAGAAAGTGGAGTACGACAGGGCTGTATTTTGTCTCCATTGTTGTTCAATATTTATTCTGAATGAGTATTTAAGAAAGCTTTAAACGGTTGTGCGAAAGGAATACTAATAAACGGTGAATGGTTGAATAACATTATGCAGATGACACTATAGTTTTTGCTGATAATCTGAATGACATACAGATATTAACAAATCGCATAACAGAAGTCAGCAACAGAAACGGACTAGCTCTTAACATAAAGAAAACCAAATTTATGACAATTAGTAAAAAACCAATACTAAACACTCAACTTACAATCAACCAACAGAATATCGAAAGAGTCGAGCAATCTACATATCTAGGCACCAATTTAAATAGCCAATGGGACCATTCAACAGAAATTAAACAGCGAATAATAAAAGTAAAAGCAGCATTCGCTAGAATGAGAACCATTTTCAACAGTCGAGACATATCATTAAAAACAAAATGCCGTCTATTAAACTGCTACATATTCACAGTTCTGCTCTACTGAATGGAAGCGTGAACACTGACTGTTGCATCTATGAATCGGCTCGAAGCTTTCGAAATGTGGTGTTATAGGCGCATCTTACGTATATCCTGGGTTGACAGAGTTACTAACGTGGAGGTCCTGCGTAAAATGGGGAAAGAATGTGAAATTCTCATGACCGTCAAAACTAAAAAGTTGGAATATCTAGGACATGTAATGAGAAATCAAGAACGGTACGGCCTTCTCCAGCTGATTCTTCAAGGGAAGGTAAATGGTAAGAGAGGACCGGGAAGAAGACGCATTTCCCGGCTTCAAAATTTACGAAAGTGGTATAACACGACTACCAGTGAACTGTTCCGCGCTGCAGTGAACAAAGTAAAGATAGCCGTGATTATCGCCAACATCCAGAACGGATAGGCACTTTAAGAAGAAGATAGCA